GTGGCTCAGTGGTAGAGCCCCTGCCTAGAATCCCCCAGTGAGGGGCTGGGGTGTGGCTCAGCAGTACAGAACCTGCCAGGAATTCACCAATGAAAGGCTGAGAGTTTAGCTAAGTGGCAAAGTATTTTTCCAAATATCTGGGTTTGACCTCAACAAGAGAGAAAGAAGTGGGGGTGGGAGAGAGAGAGAGAAAGAGCACAGAAAGAGAGAAAGCAAACCCACACAGCAAAGTAGGCATCTGACAACTGCAGAGCACACAGGGAGATGCCACCACTTCCCTCTCTGTGGTTGATAGGACAGCCACACAGAGAGATCAGTGAGGAGGCAGACGCCATGGACAACCTCAAACCACTCACGCTCAATGACATTCCTAGAACATTTCACCCACCAACATTGGAATTCATCTCCAGGGCAAGCACAGGGAACATTTCCCGAGACACACCATATTGCAGAGCCACGGGACGAGTCTCAATAAATTTAAAAGGATTAAAGACCTACAGAGAATGCTCTCCGACCACAATGGAAGTGAATTAGAAATCAATAACGGAAAGAACTGGAAAATCCCCAAGTCCTGGCTCAACTGGGCGTCTAGCTGGATGACCTTGAGGCTAGGCTCCGGCGTCCTCACCTGGGCTGGTAGCATCATTGCTGGCTCTGCCACACAGGGTTTTGTGAGGACTGGGCTAACCTAAAACACAGACTGTGCTCGGCACGTGCTTACTGTCACTATCTTAATGACACTTTCTGACTCACGCAGGAGAATGGGTACCCAATGGGGTTGGCTGCAGGACCCCAGGGCAGCCATTTGTTCTACCCTGGCCTCTCCTGGTAACCCTCCTGCTCTGTCAAGGAAGAGTGGCCAGGCCCTCTTGCAAGTCACAGACCCGAGAGAGGCTCCCAGGCGCCGCTGGCATCTTAGCAGGCCTTAACAACAAAAGGCCACTGGCCTCTGCCTAGCACATGTACAAAACGTTCTGGGTTAGGGGAGAGTGGACAAAAGGGTAAATAATACAGCTTCCTGAAAAGCCAAACCTCCAACCCTGACATGACGCCCAGGGATGGACACAATCTCTCCACACCCACCTCATGGGCCAATGTGAGCCACTACCAAGAAATGACCCGGTGGCTGCCCGGCACACATCAGGTGCCAGGCTGGCCCTTGAGACCGCAACATGATGGACGGGTGGAGGCAACGGGCACAGGGGTTAAGGACCGGCTGCCCACTGAGCTATTTGGACAAGGTAAATTTGGGGTTAGCTGTTAGTACCCAAGAGAATCAGCCCAAGACGGCTGGATCCATGAAGAGGCTCAGACGAGGAGTCTGGAAGTGAGCAGCCCTAGCCCAGTGCATTCATGAGTGGCCTGCAGCGGAGACATGCATCTAGAGGATGTTTCGTGTTGGGTCAAGTGTGGGGCACTTTGTTAGTTGTCCTGTTTTCTGCCAGTGGGCGGGCTGACAATGCAAGGCCTGGTCTGAACAACACAGAAAATTGAGGGCACGGCTCCCAAAGCCTGGCTCCTCCACGCAGGGAAACATGTATTTCTTACGCGGTCACAGTATGAATTGAAATCTCCAGAGCGCAGCTCTCACTCAGCTGAGAGTGAGATTGAGGGCTGGACGCTGTTGTGTGGGGGAACTGCTGAAAAAATGTCCACCATTTAGGACAGCGATTCCACTGGCACTTGAGTCACCAAGTCCAGAGGCTTGGGCCAGCTGCACCAGGTCCCAGTGATTCATACCAGCACCAGCACGTTCCTTTGCCAAATATTTCCGAGTGTCAACCACTGAGTGTCGACAACGTTGCAATCAATGACCTTACTTCTCGGCATCCCGAACTGACTCATTATAAATAGATGTCACCTGGTTTGTTTCTGTCCTCTCTCATATTCATGCACAAGCATTTGCTTATTGCTCTTATGTTATCCAATTACAGATTACATCACCTAGCCGGGCATGGCGGTGTGTACCTTTAACCCCAGCACTTGAGAGGCAGAGACAGGTGGATTTCTGTGAGTTTGCAGCCAGCCTGGTCTACATAGTGAGTTCCAGTACAGTCAAGGCTACATGGTGAGACTCTTTCTCAAAAAACAAACAAACAATACATCTAACCACCTTTTTTTTTTCTCATTACAACTAGAGCATTGTACTGAAAGCTTTAAAAAAAAATCTTGTGTGTCAGTGCATGTGAATACAGTGCCACTGGAGGCCAGAAGGGGGCATTGGATCCCCTTGGAGCTGCAGTTACAGGCAGTAGTGAGCCTACTAACTTGGGTGCTGGGAACTGAACTTGGGTCCCCTGCAAGAGCAGTACACGCTTTCTTAATCACTGAGCCATCTCACCAGCCCTAAAAAATTGAATATCACCTCAGGATGAAAAAGCATTAAAATAATATTAGTTATGAAAAGAGAGTCTGCAAACACTGCTGGTGCCAGTGGATTCACGGCAGGGTGGGGAGAAGGCAGTGGGCAATGTGAAGCTGAAGCTGAGGACTGAAGTGCCAGCGGATGCTAGAAGGGGGCAGTAGCAGCGGGCACACATGCTGTCTGAGCTAAGGCGGTGACTGGACATATGGCTACAATGGTCACATGTGAAGTGAGGGTTGAGGGGAAGGGGAGAAGCCTTGCTGCTAGCTGGATCAGGCTGAGGGGCTTCTTGACAGGAGGGTGTGGAGACGATAGCTGAGGAGGTAACCCAGAGACCTTTCTGGACACTGAGGTGTGAAGGTAGGCAGGGCTCAGACAGTAAGGAGAGAGAGGTTAGGGGATTATCCACTTCCCAAAGAGTGACCAAGGGAGAGCCCCCTTGTGGTAAAGGACAGCATCTGGGCATGCTGATTGCTGAGGTTGCAGGTATGGCTACAGGAGACTGTGGGCTGAGTGAACACTGCCCAGGAGGCACATTCTGACCAGGGCCCACGACATCCCCTAGGAAGACAGCATGGATGCCCTACAGTCCTCCTGCAGGATGGTGGTCACTGTCACTGAGTCACAGGAGGGGACAAACCAGGCTGCTGAATGGGTAGAATGTGTGAGAGGGCGAGGGGTGTGGGAAAGCACAAGGCCGAGCAAACAGCTGCAGGGAGCATGAATGGCTTCGGGGTGGCCAGAACGGGAGAAGGTAGGGAATGGCTGGTTAGACAGCACGGTCCTCAAACAGCAGGTCCAGGCTGAGGAGGAAGAAGTTGGGCTCACAGAGTGGAGACCACTGACTCACATCTGCCCCTCAACCCCTGGAAAACATCGACCTTTCAGTGCATGGATTTTGGAGATGATATTAAGGGCTAAGACGAGGAAATGATCCTAGACCATGCAGACAGGCCTGGTGAACACAAGTGTGTGGATGTGGAAGCAAGTCAGAGGTAAGTCTAGTGGAAAAGCAGTGTAATTTCGGGTTCTTCCAAGGTTGAGGCAGAAGGGCTGAAAGCTCAAGGAAAGCTGGGGAGAGTGAATTCAAGACAAGCATAAGCAACTTGGTGAGAACTTGTCTCAAAATACAAGAACAAAAACTTGACTAGTGCTATGGCTCAATGGTAAAGCCCCTGCCTAGAATCACTCAGTGAGGGGCTGGGGTGTGGCTCAGT